GTACGTGTGTAAGGGTGGCGGTTTTGTCAAATACTATGGCTTAAAAGCATGCCACCGTCGGATGGAAATCTGACGGTTACATGGGATTCACCAGGATTGAGCTCGTGCCGAACAACCGCCAGATATCATTACAAAAAAAGGTTAAAACACCCAGGGCTATAACTTGCACCGGCTGACCACTAACAATGATACTAACATAGTTGTAAAATGGTCAAAGACCATGTCTACGTGGTGTTTGGAATTATATGAAAAAATAGCAAGATGCCCGTGCATTGCACGACACACCATCATCACCAACTCGGTTTTTTCTCTACTCCTACTCCTATAAAAGACTAAGTTGGTGATGATGGAGGCGAGGAGGCGTGTTTAGCCGGGCGTGCAGCGGACGGCGCAGTACTATTCGATTTGTTATAAAAAACAAAGACGAGTAGTAGATATAGAGATAAGAGTAGAGATAGAGACTTAGGGAGGAGCACCATCTACTGCTTTGTGTGCTACTCCCGCGCTCCATTAGGGGGCCGCAACATCCCCTACAACCACTCCCTCCTGCGCTCCATTCTGTGGGCGCTCTTGAAATTTGGGGAGCACACTCTCGCGACTGCTGGCAGCCATGACTTCACCAACGACGACTTCTTCCCCGACCTCAACAACCTCTTCCTCAATGACATGGGAGACAACCTCAACGCCAACGGTGCTGCTCCCGTTGCACCGTATGTGTTTCTGTCCTTCCTATTCGAAATCGTGGTAGAATTCATGTTTCTACTATGTATCCTACTAGATTCTATCTATTCATCTACTATGCTAGTCCACATGATTAGTTTAATCTCTGTTATAGCCGTCATGGTTTATTTTGTGCTTATTTGGATTAAATCTCGTAGTAACTTGCTCATATATTCAACTGGCGCAACGTCCCCTACAGCCACTCCCGTTTCATGGACGGCCTGGTCGATGCCTCCAAGGAGCCCTTCGTCTACTGCTATGAGTGCCCGATGCCGTTTTGGGGCTTGCCGGCGAGCATTGTGCATCACCTCACAGATGCGTGCAGCAGCTGCTACTGGCCCTTGGCGGAGAACATCAAGTACGAGACATGCTACCCGTTCATCATGCCGGAGTCGCTGGAGGATCACCGCCACCTGCTAGTCTCGGAGGAGGACGGCAACGTCTTCCTCTTGATCGTGGGCACCGACAAGGCCCGCACAGGCCGCTGCCCCATCTCTGTAGTGTGCGTCAAGGACGGTGCCGCTGACGCTGACACTGACATGAGGCCAATGTACGGGTGCGTGCTCACCATTACTACCCCTCCGAGCTACATGGGCGGCGACACTGGCTACAGGAAGCTGACTTGGACTCTTTCGAGCTGGGACCTTCCCGCCAATGTGGACATGGAAGAATCATGGTATGATTCCCCCCCCCCCAATGTTGTGCACGGGGACTCCAAGGAGGTTCACCTGGACATATGCATTATCAAGTTAAATGTTGATCATTAGTCTTCGTTCAATGTAATCCGCTGTTTAAGCATGTGGAGACTTCCATGCATGATCTTGCTCTATTGGAGTATCGCGCATGAATAAAAGTTCCTATGAATTTTTACTACAGTACTGGTGAAAGACTTACTATGAACCATTTCTTACACCTCCTCTGCCCCTTCCAAGTCATCCTGATTTAATCCCTCCGTCTAGGTGTATAAGGGCATGGTTAATACTTAATAGTATAGCCAACTGTTGACTATAAGAAAGTACCATGTCATCTGTAGCCAACATGTATAACAATCGATACTCAAAAACTAATTCTTAAAGATCATTTTTTGCAAAGCATAATAAGTGTAATTTCTTTACAAGTTTTGGATGCAGGTTGAACAGTAGAACGCTTTTGTTTGCAAAAGATACATTTTTATCTATTTCACCTGGATGTTTGTGAGCTCTAGAGATGAAATAATATCCGAAGAAACCTATCGATACCCGTTACACATGAGATGACCCCCACATCCTTTGTCAAAATAAACAACTCCCCGATCGATGCATTTCACTCTTCCGTGAAACGCACGGGCACCTTACTATAGATTAGTACGACCAAAAATTGAACTAACATTATATATAGTACGATAAATGTTAATGCATGTCACCTAAAATTATATCATTGAAAACTATGTTCAAATACGAATCCAACGATATAGTTTTTGTTGACATGCACTAACATTTTGTCAGTTAAATCTTCAGTCAAATTCAATGGGGGACTAATAAACCATGACCGATGTAGTATAAGTGTAGAGAGCGGCACTGCACGGGAGTTGCACCCCGCTCGTGGCGCGGCAGTAAAGCCGTCATATCACAAAATCCAACCACTGCCATTAATAAGTGGCCTGGTAAAATAAACGGACAAGCAACCATCACGTCCATCCGTCTTTTTTGCATTTCATCTCTCTACATTTACTTTCTCCGGTTCATCTCACACACTTGATCCATATCTACTACTCCTAGTATCCCTAGCTACTACTCCTAGGGCCAGTTCTTTTGGCGGCTTAAAAAATAAGCCGTCTCTTCCCTTACCTCCACTCGCTTATATATTTTGTACCTAGACCATTTGTTAGGGTTAGCAAAGTATATGAGATCATTTGAGAGAGCTTTTCTCCTTGTACCTCCATCTTGAGGATCAAGACCTTCTAAGGGAGAAGGATCCCCATCATAGGATCATCAAGACCTCCTAAGGGAGAAGGATCTACCTAGATCATCAAGACCTCGTCTCCTTTGGATTTGAGAAGAACCTTACCTCTATGCTATTTTCCCTTGATTGTTCATATTATGCTTGTGGATCTCATGTGTGCTATTCTAGTGGATATGTGATTTGGGTATGCTTGAGTGATTTATCTGGCGTTCTTCCCCCTTTCTCCCTCCCAAGTGTGAAAATATCATGAACTAGGGTTCCACCCTATAACACCTTTCTCCCCCCTTCCTCCTCTGTACATCATCCTCTCCCCGCCCTCCTGGTTCCTTCTCCTTGATCCGCCCTCCTCTAGGCTCTACCTTTCTCCTTCTTCCTCCGGCTTCCTGTTCTCAGCTCTGCCCACCGCCCTCTTCCATTCTCATCCCTATCCGCATGTGATATTTCTCAGCTAATTACCTTGTCCATCAGGTTTTGTTGTTAAGTTAGATCCTAAGGCAAGGAGATGATGGACACTGAAACCTGGTACTGAGAGTATTCAGTAGACAACGCCCATGTGAAGTTGAATATGGTAGAGCTCTGAGGAGATGATACTAACTGTGGGTTCGTGATTCATTGGTTCCGGCTAGGTAAATTATATGGAGAGCACATTAGACTAGTAGTTTGCCTATATGAAATTCAGCTTGTAGTTGTTGTAAAAGAAAAAAAAGGACTTGTATGGACTAATGTACAATGGACTACATATCAGAGCCTGCTCTTCGGTTTCTTTTCCTCGATTTGGGGAGTGATGTACATACAAAGGATGATTGGATGCTTACTTTAATGCACTATGACGACTCTTAGGGAATGATTAATAGTATAGCCGGATGTTGGCTATATGTTGTTGTTGTGTCATCTATAGTCAATTTTATAGCCAAGACATATAATAGTTAGCTGTAAATATATACTACTATGACTCACCTTACACTCTCACAAAGCTCCTATGAGCATGTGCCGCAGGTGGCTGTTAATCTACAGCCTGTTTATTTTCTCTCATCCAACTCAACAAGAATACATTATTTAAATTCTTATAACCCGCTTACATTATCTTATTATACTTGCTCTTACTACCTTGCCACTTGCCACATGCAAGATTGTGAAAACCAAGAGAAGATGATGCTTTATTTCTCGAATTATGTGTTAACTATTGAAATGTGTTATATATATATATATAATATGTTTAGTCGAAATGCTGGTCGATGTTGCATTGGCGCCCAAAACTCCATTGATGCAAGTTACCCAAATAGAGACTACCAAATACAAGCTCAGGCAAGCATGTCTCCTAAATGCATGCTACCAAACAAAAATCTCAGCTTGACATGTCTCAACACATACAAGGTTACCAAGGGGTTGTTTGATTACCAATAGCGATTTTTAGAGGTTGCATCGGAAAGTGAGATGCATGTTGTTTAGTTCCCTCCATATGGATGGGTTGCGTGCATTGTGAAAAACAATTTCCGCTCAGTGTTTGGTTACATGCATGCATCGTGATTGGGAGTTAACAACTACTCCCTCCATTCCTAAATAATTATTTTATTAAAGATTTCAACAAATGACTACATACGGAGCAAAATGAGTGAATCTACACTCTAAAATATGTCTATATACATCCGTATGTGGTATCTCTAAAAGACAAATATTTAGGAACGGAGAGGGTCTACACACGTGACAACACACACAAGTTTACATTAACAACGCACACGTACCAGCAACTAACAAGAAAGGCGCAGAATCGAGCTCCTTTCCACGGAGATGGAAAAAAAATGGAGGCGAATATTATGGGATAGGAGAAAGGCCAAGAGGAGGAGAGAGTGAGATAGAGAGAGGAGAGAGCGGAGGGGATAAACGGACAAGAGGGAAAAGCTGAGAACAAATCCAAGCCAACCAACCAATCCAAATATCCATAGACCACAATCTCCATTGGACCACAGCTCTCCTTCCCCAACCAAAACTAAGAAGAGAAACCCCTGCAACTCTGCAAGAACACCACCATCCCACCTCCCAGCGAGAAAATCTTTTTGTACGAAAAAAGGGGGTGGTCAGATTTACTCCACATCACTCCCCATGCACCGGCCCTGAGGAAAGCGTTCCAGTCGAGTCTCCATTCTTCCACGATTCCAGGAAACCGTCGCCGATCTAAGCAAATCTTGTTCACCAGAGCGCCAACAAGTTGTTGCCTCTTGGCTTCATGACAGCTCCTTGACCTGCTGCTGCTGCTGCTCGTTATCCAGCTTTTTCCTTGGGTAATTAGCTACCTGCTCGTCGTCGTCGTCGTCGCCGCAGAAAGGCCTTGGTGCCTAGTCATGTCGGCGTCGCCGTCGATGAGCGGCGGTGCCGGGGAGCGGACGCGGACGCGGACGGTGGTGTGGTTCAGGCGGGACCTGCGCGTGGAGGACAACCCGGCCCTAGCGGCGGCGGCGCGAACAGCCGGGGAGGTGGTGCCGGCGTACGTGTGGGCGCCGGAGGAGGACGGGCCGTACTACCCTGGGCGGGTGTCCCGGTGGTGGCTCAGCCAGAGCCTCAAGCACCTGGACGCCTCGCTGCGCCGGCTCGGCGCCACCCGGCTGGTCACCCGGCGGTCCACCGACACCGTCGCCGCGCTGCTGGAGCTCGTCCGCAGCACCGGCGCCACCCATCTCTTCTTCAACCACCTCTACGGTTCGATTCCTCCTACATCTCTCACTCTTATTCCTTTGTGGTCATTTATTTATTTTCTACTGTCCTAGGAGTACTTGGTTAAGATTTCTTCTCTTCTCTGTTATACTCCTATATAAGAAGAAAAAAAAGATAAAGATAAAGGATTTCTGTTTTACGGTTTGCTCCGCTCCGGCTCAACTAGATCCACTCTTACACGATCCAATAGAAAATGGAGGGGAGGGGAGGGGAGGGGAGGAATCTTTGCATCAACAGTACCATCCCTCCTGTGTGATGTGTGTGCCAATCAATCATATTCATGGGTATTTCATTTCATGCTAGCTTAACCTGTACTCCACACGTCAAACAACTCCAAGTTTAGCATCAAACACTACTCCCTGAACACTCAGTCTTTAATTCCCAAAAGTTCTTGTACCCACCAACCTAGTAGTAGTATTTATTACTACTAGTAGTCCGGTTTAATTAAAACTTACTTTTTTTAGGGGATTTTAATTAAAACTTACTAGTACTATAACAAGTAGTAGTTGTTTTCCTTTTTGATAACAAGCACCTTATCGTGTAAGCTGACACAAACAAATGGCCATGTGTTGCTCACCAATCGCTGTCTGCTCTGCTGCCCGCCGTGTAGACCCGCTGTCGCTGGTCCGGGACCACCGGGTGAAGCAAGTGCTGGGGGCCGAGGGCATCACCGTGCAGTCCTTCAACTCCGACCTGCTCTACGAGCCATGGGAGGTCCTCGACGACCACGGCTGCCCCTTCACCATGTTCACGCCCTTCTGGAACAAGTGCCTCTGTATGGTCGACCCCCCCGCGCCCATGCTGCCACCCAAGAGGATCAATTCAGGTCTCTGCACTGCTTTTTTTTTCTTCTTCTTCTTCCTCTTTTCGAGGAAGAGGAACAATAACTACTGACCTATATATAGAACAATAACGACAGGTGACTTGTCGAGGTGCTGCTCATCGGACCATCTCATCTTCGAAGACGAGTCGGAGAGGGGGAGCAACGCGCTGCTCGCACGGGCGTGGTCGCCGGGGTGGCAGAACGCCGACAAGGCTTTCACCGCCTTCATCAACGGCCCGCTCATCGACTACTCCGTGAACCGCAAGAAGGCCGACAGTGCAAACACCTCACTGCTCTCTCCCTACCTGCACTTTGGCGAGCTCAGCGTCCGCAAGGTCTTCCATCAGGTACGGATGAAGCAGCTAACGTGGAGCAACGAGAGCAACCGCGACGGCGAGGAGGGCTGCAGCCTCTTCCTCCGCTCCATCGGCCTGCGAGAGTACTCCAGGTACCTCGCCTTCAACCACCCCTGCAGCCACGAGAAGCCCCTCTTGGCTCATCTCAGGTTCTTCCCCTGGGTGGTCAATGAGGTCTACTTCAAGGTCTGGAGGCAGGGTAGGACCGGCTACCCTCTTGTCGACGCCGGCATGAGGGAGCTTTGGGCCACCGGCTGGCTGCATGACCGCATACGTGTCGTCGTCTCAAGCTTCTTCGTCAAGGTTCTCCAGCTGCCATGGCGCTGGGGGATGAAGTACTTCTGGGACACCTTGCTGGACGCCGACCTTGAGAGCGACGCGTTGGGCTGGCAGTACATCTCCGGGTCTCTGCCTGATGGCCGTGAGCTCGACCGCATTGACAACCCGCAGGTACATCATCTTCGGGTTGTTGAACCTATTTGCTTTATAATAAAAGGTGGCCGTATGCATCTTTCTGATGCAGAGGCCGGGGTTATACCCTTTTTCCAAAAGAAAAAAAACTACTCCTATATGATACAGTATATGAAGATAATCAAAATAGCTAGCTAGCACTCTCGATTGATTTGATTTGATTTTTTTTTATGTATTGCATTTCTCAGTTTGAAGGCTACAAGTTCGACCCATACGGGGAGTACGTCCGGCGATGGCTGCCGGAGCTGGCGAGGCTACCAACGGAATGGATACACCACCCCTGGGATGCACCCGAGTCTGTGCTGCAGGCTGCAGGAATTGAGCTAGGTTCCAATTACCCTCTCCCCATTGTTGAGCTAGATGAAGCCAAATCCAGATTGCAGGACGCCCTGTCAGAGATGTGGGAGCTTGAGGCAGCCTCTCGTGCTGAGATAGAGAATGGAATGGAGGAAGGCCTGGGAGACTCCTCAGACGAGCCGCCCATTGCCTTCCCCCAAGAGCTGCAGCATATGGAAGTGGACCTGGACCGTGCCACTATCCACACACCAGCGACGGCTGGCCGGAGACGAGCAGATCAGATGGTGCCTAGCATCACCTCTTCCTTGGTCAGAGCTGAAACAGAAACAGAACTTTCCGCAGCTTTTGAAAGCCAAGTGACTAGGCCGGAGGTGCCATCACAGGTGCATTTCCAGCCTCAGACTCGGACGGAAATCAGGGATGAAGTTGCCAGCTACGGCACTGCTTCCAGATACAACGGCGTCCAGCAGCAGCAGCAGCAGTATACCCTACACCATCACCGTGTGCAGGGCGGCATAGCACCATCCACTTCAGAGGCATCAAGCAGCTGGACTGGGAGAGAAGGTGGGGTAGTACCCGTTTGGTCGCCTCCGGCTGCGTCAGGCCATTCAGATCCCTACGCTGCGGATGAAACTGACATTTCCAGTAGGAGTTATTTGGACAGGCACCCGCAGCAGTCACATAGGTTGATGAATTGGAATCAGCTCTCCCAGTCATCGTGACCTCAGATGCATGGTAAACCCAACTAGAATTTGCTTCTCAACTACTGTACTCCTAGTATGTGCTTCTACGTTATATCAATAGTACATGCTTACTAACGCCTCGTTTTTTTTTTTTTTTTGAAGCTGGATGAGACAACAGCGGGCTGCCAAGTGGAAAACTTTTGCCCAGATGCATGAACGAATTTAATTGTGTAGGGAGTTGGAGAGTGACGTATGTACATTATATTGCCTTCTGTTCACCTATAGCCTTGGTATGCAGGAAGAACCAAGTGATGCAGCTTCATTCATGGGTGCAATAAGTTATGTAAAACTAGACTTCTAGAACTTCTGTGGTAATAGTATAGGTTGCTAGTTGTCAAAAGGATCTGCACCGTTTATATCAGATAAAGGTTTTGTCTGTAATGGTACATTACCTTTGGTTCTTGCCATCTTTGCCGACCAAGAAGTCACCACATAGCTTGACTCGGAACCAAACTTTTGGAAGAGTGTATACTGATAGAAATGATACGACGATCTGAAACACGCACAAGCCTCATCGGAGACAGCATAGATGAACATTAGAGGACCATACGTTTCTTGCCACCTGGGGGCGAGCCGGCTGGGAGCGATTGGGTTCCCAGGCGCCGATATCGGGCCATTTTTGGCGCAAATGTGACTGTTTTTCCGCCCAGTTTTGGCGAAAAATCGACCTGATATCGGCGCAAATCGACCCATATTCGTTGTAGTTCGGCGCAAAAAATTCAACTAAAGTAATTTTTTATCATATAATTCATCAAAGAAAATTAATAGAAATCAAATAGTTCAACAACAAATATTTGAATACAAATTATATATTTCAACAAATAAAAATTCATATTTCATCACACGTCGAGCTAGGCGTTGTCCTTGAGCCTCCATAGGTGCTCCACCAGATCCTGCTGCAGTTGTTGATGCACCTATGAGTCTTGGATCTCCTGACGCATATTGAGGAAGGCAGTCCATGTTGGTAGCTGGTGATCAACTTGCGCAAGAGGACCCTGCCTGTAATATGGTTCAGTGTCAAACACTGGCTCTTCCTGCTCGCTCTCAATGATCATGTTGTGCATGATGACACAGCAAGTCATGATCTCCCACATTTGATCTTTCGGCCAGATCTGAGCGGGGTACCGGACAAAAGCAAATCGAGATTGGAGCACACCAAATGCCTGCTCGACATCCTTCCTGCAAGCCTCCTGAACCTTTGCAAAGTGGGAGTTCTTGCCCCCTGGCACAACGTTTGAGATAGTCTTCACAAACGTAGACCATCAAGGATAGATGTCATCAGCTAAGTGAAGGAAATATGCCCTAGAGGCAATAATAAAGTTGTTATTTATATTTACTTATATCATGATAAATGTTTATTATTCATGCTAGAATTATATTAATCGGAAACTTAGTACATGTGTGAATACATAGACAAAACATAGTGTCCCTAGTATGCCTCTACTTGACTAGCTCGTTAATCAAAGATGATTATCTTTCATAGCCATAGACATGTGTTGTCATTCGATGAACGGAATCACATCATTAGAGACCCATACGTTAGCTTAGCATTATGATTGTTACAGTTTTATTGCTACTGCTTTCTTCATGACTTATACATGTTCCTCTGACTATGAGATTATCAATTACCGAATACCGGAGAAACACCTTGTGTGCTATCAAACGTCACAACGTAACTGAGTGATTATAAAGATTCTCTACAGGTGTCTCCGAAGGTGTTTGTTGTGTTGGCATATATCAAGATTAGGATTTGTCACTCCATGTATCGGAGAGGTATCTGTGGTCCCTCTCGATAGTGCTCATCACTATAAGCCTTGCAAGCAATGTGACTAATGAGTTAGTTACGGGATGAAGCATTACGGAACGAGTAAAAAGACTTGCCGGTAACAAGATTGAACTAGGTATGATGATACCGACGATCGAATCTCGGGCAGGTAATATACCGATGACAAAGGGAACAACGTATGTTGTTATGCGGTTTGACCGATAAAGATCTTCATAGAATATGTAGGAGCCAATATGAGCATCCAGGTTCCGCTGTTGGTTATTGATCGGAGATGTGTCTCGATCATGCCTACATAGTTCTCGAACTCGTACCGAAGTTTGTTTGGAGTCCCAGATAAAATCAAGGACAAGACGAGGAGTCTCGAAAAGGTCGAGACATAAAGATTGATATATTGGAAGGTTATGTTCGGACACCCGAAAGGTTTCAGAAAGGTTCGGACATTTTTCGGAGTACCGGGAGGTTACCGGACACCCCCCCCCCCGGGAGAGTATTGGGCCTTCATGGGCCTTAGTGCAAAGTGTTGGGGAATGTAGTAATTTCAAAAAAATTCCTACGCACACGCAAGATCATGGTGATGCATAGCAACGAGAGGGGAGAGTGTGTCCACGTACCCTCGTAGACCGAAAGCGGAAGCGTTATGACAACGCGGTTGATGTAGTCGTACGTCTTCACGATACGAGCGATCTTAGAACCAAACGTACGGCACCTCCATGATCAGCACACGTTCAGCTTGGGGACGTCCCTCGTACTCTTGATCCAGTTGAGGCCGAGGGAGAGTTTCGTCAGCACGACGGCGTGGTGACGGTGATGATGAAGTTACCGGCGCAGGGCTTCGCCTAAGCACTACGACGATATGACCGAGGTGTGTAACTATGGAGGGGGCACCGCACATGGCTAAACAATGTCAACTTGTGTGTCCTAGGGTGCCCCCCGCCCCTGTATATAAAGGAGCAAGGGGGAGGCCAACGGCCCTTGGTCGCGCCAAGGAGGGGAGGAGTCCTCCTCCTAGTAGGATTAGGACTCCCCCTTTCCTAGTCCAACTAGGAGGAGGAAGGGGGAAGGAAGGAGAGGGAGAGGGAGAGGGAAAGAGGGGCTGCGCCCCCCTCCCCTAGTCCAATTCGGACTCCCCTTGGGGGGGCGCCACCTCCTGGGCTGCTGCTCTCTCTCTCTCCCCTAAGGCCCATTAAGGCCCAATACTTCCCCGGGGGGTTCCGGTAACCCCTCCCGCACTCCGGTTTTCTCTGAAATCACCCGGAACACTTCCGGTATCCGAATATATCCGTCCAATATATCAATCTTTATGTCTTGACCATTTCAAGACTCCTCATCATGTCTGTGATCACATCCGGGACTCCGAACTACCTTCGGTACATCAAAACACATAACTCATAATACCAATCGTCATCGAATGTTAAGTGTGCGGACCCTACGGGTTCGAGAACTATGTAGACATGACCGACACATGTCTCCGGACAATAACCAATAGCGGAACCTGGATGCTCATATTGGTTCCTACATATTCTACAAAGATCTTTATCGGTCAAACCGCATAACAACATACGTTGTTCCCTTTGTCATCGGTATGTTACTTGCCCGAGATTCGATCATCGTTATCTCAGTACCTAGTTCAATCTCGTTACCGGCAAGTCTCTTTACTCGTTCCATAATACTTCATCTCGCAACTAACTCATTAGTCACAATGCTTGCAAGGCTTATAGTGATGAGTATTACCCAGAGGGCCCAGAGATACCTCTCTGAAACACGAAGTGACAAATCCTAATCTCGATCTATGTCAACCCAACAAACACCTTCAAAGACACCTGTAGAGCACCTTTATAATCACCCTTTTACATTCTGACGTTTGGTAGCACACAAAGTGTTCCTACGGTATTCGGGAGTTGCATAATTTCATAGTCTAGGGAACTTGTATAAGTCATGAAGAAAGCAGTAGCAATGAAACTAACACGATCATAATGCTAAGCTAACGGATGGGTCATGTCCATCACATCATTCTCCTAATGATGTGATCCCATTAATCAAATGACAACACATGTCTATGATTAACGAGCTAGTCAAGTAGAGGCATACTAGGGACTATATGTTTTGTCTATGTATTCACACATGTATTAAGTTTCCGGTTAATACAATTCTAGCATGAATAATAAACATTTATCATGAATTAAGGAAATAAATAATAACTTTATTATTGCATCTAGGGCATATTTCCTTTAGTCTCCCACTTGCAATAGAGTCAATAATATAGATTGCATAGTAATGATTCTAACACCCATGGAGCTTTGGTGGTGATCATGTTTTGCTCGTGAGAGAGGCTTAGTCAATGGGTCTTCAACATTCAGATCCGTGTGTATCTTGCAAATCTCTATGTCCCCTTCTGACACTTGATGACGAATGGAATTGAAGCGTCTCTTGATGTGCTTGGTTCTCTTGTGAAATCTGGATTCCTTTGCCAAGGCAATTGCGCCAGTATTGTCACAAAAGATTTTCATTGGACCCGATGCACTTGGTATGACACCTAGATCGGATATGAACTCCTTCATCCAAACTCCTTCATTTGCCGGTTCCGAAGCAGCAATGTACTCCGCTTCACACGTAGATCCTGACACGACGCTCTGCTTGGAACTGCACCAACTGACAGCTCCCCCATTCAATAAAAATACGTATCCGGTTTGCGAATTAGAGTCATCCGGATCAGTGTCAAAGCTTGCATCGACGTAACCATTTACGACAAGCTCTTTTTCACCTCCATAAACGAGAAACATATCCTTAGTCCTTTTCAGGTATTTCAGGATGTTCTTGACCGCTGTCCAGTGCTCCACTCCGGGATTACTTTGGTACCTCCCTGCTATGCTTATAGCAAGACATACAGCAGGTCTGGTACACATCATTGCATACATGATAGAACCTATGGCTGAAGCATAGGGAATGACTTTCATTTTCTCTTTATCTTCTGCAGTGGTCGGGCTTTGAGTCTGACTCAACTTCACACCTTGTAACACAGGCAAGAACCCTTTCTTTGACTGATCCATTTTGAACTTCTTCAAAACTTTATCAAGGTATGTGCTTTGTGAAAGCCCAATTAAGCGTCTTGATCTATCTCTATAGATCTTGATGCCCAATATGTAAGCAGCTTCTCCAAGGTCTTTCATAGAAAAACTCTTATTCAGGTATCCCT